CCCCCCCCCCTCTCCCCCCGCGCCCCCGGACAGAGAGTGGGAGTAAGAACAGAGAGAGGGAATAAAGAAAAAAAGTAAATAAAATAATCGAAAGGAGCGTTTAGACTACACGGAAGAAGTATATAGAGGAGAATATTAGGGAGCAGCGCCGTGAGCTCCTCGCCAGGAGGATGTCCCGTTGTAAATTGAACTCAATACGAAGCCGATACGGCCGACTCGGTGTCCTTTGTTCGCGATAATATATACGACCGGTTAGTCACAGAAAGAGAAAGAGAGACCAAGAGTTATACGAGAGACTCTGAAGTCGAACTGGATGAAGCGTGACGAGAAACGAGTGAGAGAAGGACGAGTGCGAGTGAATGAGAGACAGAGAGGGATAGAGCGAAGGAATGAAAGATGATGAAGCATCGTTCGATGGCGTGTTGGGTGTCATGGCGGAAAAAAATTGGGACGTAGCCGAGGGCCTTGCTACAATTAAAATCTTTAGTCCGTCATAAGTATAGACATTATTAAACCTAACTCTTAATCTCCTCAACTCATTGCGCAAGCGCATTATAAACAAACCATGTACACCGGACAAAGACTCTCGATGTCGGCTTTGTCGCCGACTTGAATTCAGTGTATATATAGGAAAACTGGTTTCAAAGCCTCTTTAACGATAATTGCTAAAAGCGACACTAGTTGAGAGATAACAAGCATACAAGAAAATAAAAACAAATAAATAATGTGTAATCTAATGTTTAGTAGCATAACGTCGCTTGCGTCGTCTTTTTATCGAGTGAATCGCGAAAGCAAGCTTGAATAATTTCGGTGCGAGGGGTTATTAAAAATATGGTCGCAAGAAAACGCGCACCATCGACCAACAAATGGCAAAAAAAAAGGAAAAAAAAACAGAACCGCCATCATCATCACATAACGATACAGTAAAGTATGTATAAGGGATTACCAACGTCGATAGGCCGCGTATTTATGCGTTAATCGCCAGGGCGTTTCCTCTCTCTTGCGAGGTTTCTCGGTACTTTCGCTTCTTCGCGTAAGAACGACTATTTCCAACAAAGCTATTCGTCTCGAATGGAATTACCTATAACGGCCCGTACTAGGTGTGATTTATTAATCCTCTAGAGGGTTAACCCTTTTGTCGTTGTTTTTTTTTTTTTTTTTTTTTT